TCCATGCCTTTTTGGTATGTCAACCAGAGGCATGTACTTCTCTTCTGGAATATTACTCCCTGCTTGTAATTTGTTATTTATGACACTGAAATTAATATACAAAGTCTTTCCTCCTTGAAAGTCAAGCCTCTATGAAATCTCCTTAGCAAGTTCAGAGGCTTTTGCTTCATTGTTATTGGTTACCAATAGGCTCAGGGATTTTTCTCTTCCATATTTAGAAGAGAATGTCTATTTTGTCTTGCCAAACATAGAATCATGAACTGAGAAAATGAACCTTTCTCTCAAATATTTTCTTTCCTAATAGAAATGCCGGACCCGCCCCCCCCCCCCCCCGAATCGGCCTATAACTCAGAACCTTGTTAATATTATACATTTTTCCTTCTCAAAATCACTAGGAAAGACATAGTTTTATGAGACAATTTCCACATGATATAAAGGGAAAAGTTTATTCCCAGCATATTGCTCTTATTGCTATGTCAGCCCATAGCCTAGATCATACTGTTGCTTCATATTAGATCATTAATCTGTTAGAAATGAAAGAAAACCTAGGCATCCACATGAGAAACTCTTTATTTTTATAAATGAGGAAAATAAAATTCAATAACATACTATAAGCCTGTATTATTTCCTAGTAGTTAAGAGTAATCTCTGGAATCAGACAGACTTGAATTCTAGACCTGACATTGATTAGCTGCTTGGACTTCAATTCTCAACAGTGAGCAATTCTTCAACCTCTTTAAAATTTAGATCTATAATATGATTATTATTATAATAGCTTTTACATTGCAATAGTTTATAAATATTATAATATGCTTCCTAAAGTACTCCCTGCATATAATACAGCAAATAATATATTTACTATTACTATTATTGTTCTTATGCTGAGGAAGACGAACCACTTTTTCAAGGCTATACCAGAATGAAATGGCAAACATTAGAATTTATGGTAAAACTTCTGGTTTAGTGATATTTCTTCTTTTTAAGAGTCATTAAAATCTTCTTCAACACAAGTATAATGTTTAATTGATACATAGTACAATCTTAGAATAGATAATAAAATGGAAAAACTCACATAAAAATCACCAAGTGTCCAAATTTTATAATTTGAGTAGGGTAAAATAACTTTAAAATTAGCAAAAATATTACACACATAGGTAGATATTGTTTTTCAATATTTGAAGTTGGTTTCATTTCTCTGCAATTTTTATTGTCAGCTTGGTACTTGTAGGATTACAAATAAACAATAAGCCAAGGACACCCTGATATATTCAATTTAAATGACTTTAGAAAAAATGATTTTCAGTAGCTCCATGTTCTTATCATATTCCGGAAAGAACAAGAAAAGGTGGTTGGAGAGTTGGGCAAAAAGGGTAGAAACAGAGTAAAACAGCCGAGTCGAGAAACCAGAATGGAAAAGACAGCAAACTTGAGGAAATAAGAAAGAAAATGGGTCCCAAAAATGAACACTGAGCTTCAGGAGACCTCCAAGTAATGACTGTTTCATCTGCATGGAAAGAAGCAGATGAACAGAGATAGGACGGAGACTGCCACTTTTCTCCCCAGCTCTCCAGTAATAGCCAACCAAGTTCACTTACAGAATTCTGTTTTAAAATTTTGTGTTATATTTATTTATTCTGCAAGAGTCAGTCCTCTCCTTCCAATATGTGGGTCTCAGGGAATGAACTCAGTTCATATGACTTGATGGCAAGTGCTCTTACCCGCTAAGACATCGCCTTGGCTCCCACCTAAAGGTTTTTTAATTTTTTTTCTAGCTGTGATTTATACCAGTACAGCTATATCCTGAACACTAATTCAATTGGTTTGTCTATGATTTTTTGTGTGTGCCAACTTTCAGACTTCTACTTCTTTGGACCTTGCTTACCTCAAAAACCAGCCTTACATTAACTTAGGAGAACACATACACCCTGCTGTCTTCTTTTCATGTGACATAGTAATAAAGTATTAGGATACTATATATATAATAGAAATTAAACTGAATGAAATACTAACAATTATTGACAGTAGAAATAAGACTATCAATCTCATTCATTCATCTTGTTATTGGGAATCACAGTTATGGTCTTGTCCGTATTAGGGAAGCACTGTGCTACTGAGATCCCAAACTCTCATTTTTATTCTTAGTTATCACTATTTACAAAAAAGTTTATTAATACATTAACAAGGTGAAGGATAGTTCTCTTCCAGTTTCAGCATTTTTATTCCTTTCTACCTTCAGTCAGTTGTCTTCCTCTTTCCCACTGTCCATGATTCTGTGTCTTGGATAGTTTTACCCATCACACCTAAGAAGATACTTGTAGCAAAGTGAGGCCTTTATTACTTCTTATAGTAACTGATTTTATATATGAAGAATTTTACTACAACTTTGCACCTTTCACAAGCTGTAATTAAAGAGCTTGGAAAGTTTTGTCTGGCTGTTTTTGTGTATAATTTATGATTCATTCAATTGCAACAATTTGTTGAATGCTTACTATGTGCCAGAGTCTGTGCTAAGCAGGCACCATGCCATCTCAAAAGGAAAAAAAATCATGTGAATTTTATTTTAAATGGAGACACTTGAGAACACATTTAGTTCTTTTCCTGTGATGTTCTACACAGTCTCTTTCAACATCTGGTCACCATTTCATACCTTCAGCCCTTGGCACAATATTTGCTACCACCTGGGCCCTATTATGCCAGTGCCATTCATCTGTTCCATTTTCATGGTGAATAGTGCTGCTTCTAGCTTTTATGAATGAGAAGCATGCTTTAGAGCAGTGGTTCTCAACCTTCCTAATGCTGTGACCCTTTAATACAATTTCTTTGTGTTGTGGTGACCCCCAACCACGAATTATTATGTTGCTACTTCATAACTAATTTTGCTACTGTAAGAATCATAATGTAAAAATCTGGGGTTTCTGGTGGTCTTAGGTGACCCCTGTGAAAGGGCCGTTCCACTCCTACATGCTGAGAACTGCTGCCTTGGAGCTTGTATGAGCCCCAGGTACTGTGGTGGGAATCATTTTGGCACTGCATTATAAGCAGAGTATTAATACTATTTTTCCCTGTATCACCTTGTGTCACTATTTTCATGTTGTAGGAATAAAAGCAAAGTACACTTCTTTTATTTGACATGCAAATTCAGGTCTTGGGGTACATTCTGTAACAAATAACCCTAGATTTGGAATAAATTTTAAGAGATGAAACAGCTGTAGAGAACATAAAAATGAGAAAAGAAGAACTAATTTGGCCTCCAGTCCTACCTCCAGGACTGAACGTGAATTGAGACACTTCGGTCTGCAACTCTGAAAGATTTAGTTAGACTTAATGTTGTCCTCAGTATTTGCATACTGCAACTTCAGTTCTGATGTCTTTTTATTTTCTTTTTTAATTTTGCATTTTCATACCAATCAAGTTGAGGAAAACTGTACTTTACAACATAAGAATTTCAAAAATACAATGGCTTCTCTTATAGCAGTACTTTGGGGATGTATTGGAGCTGAGAGCATCCTCCTGGGCTCAATTTTTGCCTTCAGTTTTGCTCAGGTCTTATCTTCAGACTCCATTTCTGTCCATGCCAGTTTGGATGACAAGTCACCACGTTCTGCTTGCTTGTTAGGACCCTGCTTTGGTATGTGTTTTTATGCCAAGCATGGATCAGGAAGCATTAAGCCCACTGCCTATTTTAACTCTGTCTATATCCCGTTCTCTCCATTTTAACAAATGAACCAGTCTCTGACCTTAGATTTCCCCTTTGTGTCTTGAGCCCTTTGTTCTGCAGCCGTTGATTTCTTCTTCCCTATTATCTGCATATTGCCTATGAGTAAGACTTGCTCACCAGAATATTCTTTCTGCCTCACTGGCACACCAAATTGTCTGTGAGAACTAAGGAAACCAGGTACAATTTCTCCACAGCAAGCAGAAGACAGCAGCTCCTTAATTTTGAGGCCACGTCGGCCTCCCAGTTAGGAAGCTGACAACACTGATATAATGTCTACATAGACAGGGTTAAATTAGACATGGCCAAAGACTGAGGAGTTCTCACTTGTGATTGGTGAGGACAGAGATTCCTGGAGTCCTGCCACTCCCAGAAGGGTATAAATGGGCAGCACTGAATTAGAATCTTCACAGGTGGTAGAGAGAAGGCAGGCAGAGTGGCCAGCGCAGGCTTAGAAGCAGAAAGCAGCATTCAGGTAAGATTTCTTGTTGCTGTAGTACGTGGACTGTGAAATCCTTAAGGATTTGTATGTGTATACATGTGTGCCTCTCTCTCTCTCTCTCTCTCTCTCTCTCTCTCTCTCTCTCTCTCTCTCTCTCTCTCTCTCTGTGTGTGTGTGTGTGTGTGTGTGTGTGTGTGTGTGTGTGTGTGTGTGTGTGTGTGAGCGCGCGCATGTGTGTGTACATGCATGCATTTTGGTTCTGAGCACTCAGAGCTCCTTGAGCAAGTCTCACTCAAATCGATTATTTCTTCCCCGAAGCTGAAGATTGCTCCAATTTTTTTCTCCCCTGTCTCACACCTATCACTGATAGGTTATTTCTGAAGAGTTGTTGGTATTTGTTAAAAGGTAAAGCCCTTTTTCCCCGAGAAAAACTGGGCCTCTCCAGGATAGCCTAGAGCAGATGAAGAATAACTATATTCAGCTGCATCCATTAAGGAGGAAGCTGGCAAGGAAAGGGAGGGCTAGGGCACTTGCTCCCAAGCCAGATATGGCTTGGAGGGAGCAACCAGGGAATTGAGAAATCTGTGCCAAAGCTGAGAAGGCCTTCAGGGTGATACCAGAAGGTTTGGCATGAAAGCTGTTTGGATAATCATCCCTCACACTTCTGCAGTGCTCTATGCTTTGCAAAGTGCCTCCAGGTCTGTGATTTCACTAGGTTCTTCCAGTACTTCTGTGAGGTGGTTAGATCTGGTGCTAGAGGTAAAGAAACTTACAAGATCACCAAGTGGCAGACGTGGAACTCCAAAACCAGGGCTCCTGCTTCTTGGTCCTGTGCGCTTTAACTGCAGCAGGCTGGCAGCCTCTGGATGAATGTGAAGGACCAGCTTCTCTGTGGTGAGTAGCTTTTCAAATGTTCTCACAACAGGCATGGAAACCTCAGAGGGAAAAACTACCTTATTACTGATTGTTACTGGGGACTTGGGCTAATGTGGCTCATTATAACTAAGCTACTCTTTAGAATTCAAATTTGCCTTCTTTAGTAGCTAGCCTCTTCTCCTTTTCCAAGCACAGCTATTACCTTGTATTTTTAATCAGTGTTGGGGATCAAACCCACAGCCTCCTCATGGAAGGCAGTAGCTCTCAAATAAATACTATGTCCATTTTTTTTCTGCTAACATCATTAAACTCCTGGGTATTTCTGCTGCAAAGTATTAGCGTTAAACAGTGAGTCTTATACCTAGTGAGAACCACAAGACTCCCTTCTCTTTACAGCCAGCCACTGGTGCTCTGGTTACTATTTGTTTCTAGACAGCATCAGATTTGGCACCCAAAACCTTGGTGACTCAGACTGAGTGGATAACCTTTTCAAATCACTTTCTCTGAGTTCTACTCTGATTGTTAATGTGAGCTGGAAAATGGGCATTTTCTCTCCCAAGACAAGTGTGACTGATCTCCATAGATCTGAACTTGCAGGTACTTTGTTGGGGCATGAAGAGTGAAGAAAGCATTTCACCAACTAATTCTAAATAGCAGAAAAATATATGTTTCCTTCTGAAACCACCCTTACCTTTGCTTCAAGGCACAGCAGCTAAGAACAACTTTGTTCTTCCTCTCTTTCATGGGTACACTATCCGGCTGACCTATAAATAACTGCTTTCACTCTCAGATTTGTCTGGTTATACCCTAAACCCAAAACTTGAAACACTGAAGACATGGAATGATTTTCCTATTTTCCTTAATTATTCAAGCTGCGAGGGGTGACCTTGTTGCCAGGCAATTTATTGAACTTAGGTGTCTGAGGGCGGATTCTACCCAATCCAAATCCTCCTGCTCTATACTTGTATGAAGGCCCTCTAATATCAATACAAATACAATAGTAGTTTTGCTTATTTGGAGTCCAGTAAATTGCAAATTGCCTTTGAGCCAGGCATGATGACAGTACCTCAAACATGGGAGGCTGAGGCAGAAAGATTGCCAGGAGTTCAATACCAAGCTAAGCTACATAGTGAAATCCAACCTCAAAAGTAAAAGCAATTTGGAAGCTTGCCTAGCTTTGACTTGCTCTAGCTCCTGAAATATGTCGTTATTGTTGAAAACTAAATGACAGCATAAAAACAGAGTCAGTACCAGAAAGCACAAAAAGTACATCATGGAAATCAGTAAATGACATCCATGTAGAAATTTCATTATAATACCTCACTTAGGTCTCATGCTTCAGTAAATGAAAACACAGTAAACATATTAATTGATAATTTAATATGTCATCAAATTTCCATCAAAATGGAAAAATATAGTCAGTATGCTAAAGGCTTTAAAACATTTGAAAGCTCATATATTAGAAGCTTCTATGCTCTCCTTTAATTACAAGTTTGCCAGTACTCTTCTTCAAGCGTGTGCTATACCAAACCCCCTAATTCATGTAGTATGTACGTACAGAAAAGTGTTACAGTGCCATTTGAATGTTATAGTGTTTTAAATGAAATTAGCATTGCTTTAAATTGTGTTGACTTTTTGTTTTACTTTGTGGCTGTGATTTTTTTATACTATTTATTTGTTTGTTCCATTATTCATTTCTTGAGACAGTGTCTTTAAAACCTCTGACTGGCTACAAAATTGCTGTGTAGCCAGTCTGGTCTTAAACTCTTAATTCTCCTGTTTCCACTTCCCAAGTGCTGGGATTATAAGCAAGCAACCCCACATCTGCTTTATGTTGTACTGGGAATCAAAGATAAGGCTTATGTAGCATTCTAGGTAAATAGTCTATCTATGACCCATAACTCCAGCATGGTGTTTTCTTTTTTTTTTTTTTTTTAGTAACCACCATTCACTTTTGTTATGTTGTGCTCATGATCAGCAAGAATCTTTTCAATGATGTCTTATAAATGCAATCGTGTATTGTTGTTAAGGCAAGTCCCGTTATATACTTAATTTTTGAAACTAAATTAATATATTTTGTTTTGTTTCTTTAAAAAAAGTTTGTGGTAATATTTACCCTTCCTTTCAAACAAGTATCAAACCAGTTTGCTTTCCTTTCCAGTTTTGTCATCCGACAATTTCAAAAGGACTCTTTTTCTGTTTTCAGTTGTGACCCTGCTCAGGATGGGAATAAAGAAAGAGTGCCTTATAAATTCCCACTGTCATTCTGTTGTTAACAATTAGGTGAAAATGCGTTGTCTCCCAACTATAAATGCTATTTTCTCTCTTAACAACAGGGACATTGTATATTGTTCAATTCAGATAGTCTAGCTAGAAGGCATTCATACGATCCTGTAGGATTATTTACACTTCCAAAACGGAAATGAGGTTAGTTTGGCCTGACTTGTGTCTCTGAACCCATGCTATCTTATTGAAGATTAAATGGTCTCTGCCTTGCCTGTTTATGTTATCTGGAGTTAACAAAGATAAATCACAAGCCCCCAGTCTTCAGATTACCTTTACTATAATAACAATCCTCAGAAATAGAATTTAAAGTCAAATTGATGGAACTCCTGTTTCAGAAGCAGACATTTTAAATATAAAACTTAACCACAAGTCAGTACAACAGACAGAAGTGTTGAGAGAATATGATGTTGATCTGTTAGGAGAGAAGGTGGACAAGAAGAAAAAAATATTAGTCTCACCTTTCCCTATTCGTTTCAAAAGAGAACTTTTTCCTTCCTGGGAGTTTGTGTTAGAGACCAGGTAAAAAATTTAAAAGCCCATATTCATAAAATTGGTTCAATCCTGAAAAACAGAGGAAGCCAAAGCATTTATGACAATTATGCTGTAATAAAAAGACAATAACCCAACGTCAAAACTTATATTCAAACACATACTAACTAGGTGACCTTGGAAAAATCATTTATTATTTGTGGGACCTACATGCTAAGTTTCAGTTTCTGTAAACATGGATAGTGTCTAGTGAATCGTATTGTGATGGTTAAGATGAGATACGCCCCAAACTCCCGAAGCCTTCTTATAAAAGAAGGCTTAAAAATAAAGAGGAATATTACTCAACAGGGATTCACTTCCTACTGTTCTATTTTTTTTAGCCTTTTGAAAGGAATTTTAATTTTTAACATTTCCTAAATAAAGGGTGGACATGTGAACACAGTGTAGTTTATCAGATTCTTCTTATCTTTCCAACTGATGCCAAGACATTATTAATAAGTTAATACTGGACATTTAAATACAAATATGCACACATAAACATATAGTTCATCATTCAATAGCAAAGTATTATGTTATATTTCCTATAATATAAATTCCTTATCATTAATTTGGGTTAGAAAAATCAGTATTTCTTTTTTTTTTATTGCGAAAAGAAGAAAAAAAAACATAAACAAAAAACAAGTTTCCACCTCCTCCCAGCCTCCCATTTCCCTTCCCCTCCTCCCACCCTTCTCCCCCTCCTCCCACCCTTCTCCCCCTCCTCCCACCCTTCTCCCCCTCCCCCCACTCCTCTCCCCCTCCCTCTCCAGTCCACAGAGCAGTCCGGGTTCCCTGCCCTGTGTTAAGTCCTAGGTCCTCTCCGTCCATATCTAGGAAGGTGAACATCCAAACTGGCTAGGCTCCCACAAAGCCAGCACATTAAGTAGGATCAAAACCCCCTGCCATTGTCCTTGGTGTCTCATCAGCCCTCATTGTTCGCCATGTTCAGAGAGTCCGGTTTTATCCCATGCTTTTTCGGTCACAGTCCAGCTGGCCTTGGTGAGCTCCCCGTAGATCAGCTCCTCTGTCTCAGTGGGTGGATGCACGCCTCGTGGTCCCGAATTCTTTGCTCATGTTCTCCCTCCTTCTGCTCCTCCTTGGGACCTTGGGAGCCACTTTAGGGTGGGCAAGCGACTTGACCCTAGAGGGGCTCCCTAGTGCCCAAGATGAGGTTCCCAGTTAGTTCCTTGGGCAGCTGAGGATTGGGAACTTGAAATGACCCTATCCTAGAGCAATACTGACGAATATCTTGCATATCATCATAGAATCTTCATCTGGTGATGGATAGAGATCCAGACAGTGACCCACACAGGAGCACTGGACTGAGCTCCCAAAATCAGTATTTCTTATAAGTCAAATTGGAAAGAGGTCATATAGGTTGTCTCATATGGACTAGCAAAACAATCTATTGAATTGTCGGAATGAAACTAGTGTAGTACTCCTAGTTACTTTTAAGTCATCATTAACATTTTTTGATATATATATATATATATATGTACATGTATGTATACATATATGATTAGATTGATACATTAATTTGTGGAGCCCACATGCAAAGTTTATAAACAATACACAATATTTAAAGATCATTGCTTTGGAATATTAAATATAGAGATATTTCTTTTAGATATTCATCATACTTTAAATCAAATGTTCCCATTCCTCTAATGAGTCTACCCATCCTCTTGAACTATTTATTTCTATCAATATCTTTCTCCTAGTAACCCAAACAGGGAACTTGAAAGTCACTGTAACTTTCTTTTCTTATCCATCAAGTAAAATTAGTTGCCATGTCTATTTCTGAAACAGCTTTCATATTTGCTTATTCTTTTCTAATTCTACTGCTAACCATGATAGTTCATATTTCATCTAGATTTTTAAAAATAAATGAGTTGTTGCAGTGTTTTAATAGCCTCCTATCTGTCTCCAGTCTCTTGCTCCGTTATTATTTGTGTGCATGCATGTTTCAACCCTACTATTAGAGTAAGGGCTGCTTCAAGCAAGAAGGCATGGCTGGCATCTTTCATATATTCAGTATGGTGCCTTGCTTGTGATATAGGCATCCATGTGTTCCTAAGTAGGCAAAATTAGATTGGTCTTTCTGCTCATAAGTTAAAATTAGTGGGTTTTAGAATTTATATAATCTTCCGAGTTCATATAATCAAACAAGATTAAAATGATATTGACCATCAACAAACAGCATT